AGAGAGAGAGAGAGAGAGAGAGAGAGAGAGAGAGAAAGGGAGAGGGATATGGCTTAATATACTGTACGGCTACACATTATTAATACCCGACACAAAGCCATTCATTGATTTTTGTTGAGGACAAAAATTATTAAAATACTTTTGATGTAATACTAGACTATATGTTGTGAAAAATAATGTACAAAATAATGTCTATTCTTCTTAATTATGTATATTTCGTGTACGAATACAAGTAATCCAATACTCTATGCATTTATATTATATGCAATATTAATAGTGATTTATTTAGGCTTTAAATTCTTGACACACAGAATATGAGTAAAATTTTATGAGATATTTATATCAAAATATATATTTAATATAAAATTTTAAAATTAATTCCAATCTCTGTTTTAGTAGATATTCAGTAGTGATGTTTGCAATTAATTTAAGTCATAATTTTTTGTGTTGCAACTTATTTTGAAGCCTTAAGTCACTCATATGTGTAATGCACGGCATATGTGTATATATACTGTATATTCTGTTATCTAAATTGTAGTACCAATTGATAAAAACCCCTTTTTTCTAACCTTTTTATAGCAACACATACTTTGCAAAATAACTACACTTTTTATCTCAACAAAATATTTCGTAAAAAATGTTTTTTGTCTGTCTTTCTCTGTGTATATAAATTGTATCTAAAGTATAAACGTTTCGTAATATCGATAATAAATGGTATGTTTTTCTTTATTTTGATATTAAATTTAATATAAACTTTCAATTCATATATCGTTTAAAATGTTTCAAACATTAAAAACCAAGAAAAGGATGTTTTCTTATTTGTATTTTATTTCATTTAAATTATCATTATTTTTGAAGAATTTTTGATACATAACTAATAGTTTTGAATTAATAATTTATAGCTTATGTATGATTATTATTAATAATAGCAAAATATATACACTTTTTAAAAACAACTAAACATTAAGTTATATTCAATTAATTAGTGCACCGAAAAGTTATTGCCAGCAAAATATCAGAGCGTTTATGAAATGATCGTTTAGTTTATGGTTAAGGAAAATATATATCAACTGTCAGTCGAGATATTATTAATGGAGAGAAACACGGCTTGAAAACAGTGAGAGAGACAAGAAAGCAAACCATCATTTCTTGTGTCATAAGAAAAATTGAATACATATTAAAGCCGTAAAACATAACTCTTAGCGCAAAATGTTTCATGTTTTGTGTTTCCCAAGAGTTTTGTCTCTCTTTTTGCTAAAAGACACCCAAAGAAGCAAAAAGCGAGTGATGTTTGGGAGAAGTGTTGTGTTAAGTGCGCGCAACCAATAGTCGCACTCATTTTGAGTGAGCGATTGAGAGAGAGAGAGAGAGAGAGAGAGCAAATTGGACTCACATTTATCGATGAACTTTTGGGTTAACTTTGTTTTTCGTTTTTTATAAACTTTTGTCTTTTGATGATAAGAATCGTTCAACGATTTCAACGATTTCTTATCGTCACACAAATCGGTTTGATTGAGCGCACAGTTGACCGACCGATGGTCGGTGTGGTCCGTATGGTCGGCACCGGTGACCACAACACTGTCATCAATCAACTGCTGGTAATGATAGCGACAATAAATGTAATTGTTATGTCGACCGAAATGGTCGCCTTTCCTAAGCGGCTGATCGCACGTAACGCACGTAAAACAGTCGACGTGATAGTAATGGCTGGTGTTGTGGCCGTCGATGTCCACATCGGCGCTGATCCTCATCACCAGTTGCTTGGGTTGTATGGATTGGCGACAGCGGACACACGTCTGCCACAGAAACAGCCGATTGTAGTCCTGTCGACAGTAGATGAGTCCATGGCGTGAGAAACACGTCAATTGACTCTCCAATTGTTGGCCACATTGGGAACACTTGAGACACCGGCAGTGCCACTGTCTGTCCACTGTTAACAAGTAGTATCGGTCGCAGATCTTATGGCCGCAACCGCCGCACCTGATTATCACCGGCTGTTCGTCACTAAACACATCCTCACAATTGGCGTCAATAATAAGTTGACTGTCATTTGGTTTCGATGCCATCTCTTGCGGGCTTTGCATTGCGATCACCGCTGACGGCATCCCTTTTGATCTTCGCTTCTTCGCCACCGACACAGCATTGATGTCCACAACTAATCACAAAAACACGCATAATATTACATATTATTAGAAATAGTAACGAATAAAATGCATAAATAATAAGTAGTTTATCGATAATTATATTTGAGTGGAAATGTTTTGTTTCTCTTATGTCTCCCGAAATGAATCTCAAATTTCCAGAATATTTGTGCGATTTTTTGTGGCATTTTTTTCTCAGAGATATATTAAATTATGTTAATATTCCTTAACTGTTAGACATTTAGGGAAACAAAAAACACAAATAAAACAAAAGAGAAACAAAATAAGATAAATGAAATATTTATCTAACGTTTTAGAGTATAGCTATGAAAATGCAAACGAAATATATTTTGGTTGTTAACTTCAATCGGAAATATTTATTGCCATAGTTTTTGTGGGTCTTGTGTTTGTGTCTCTCTTGTATACTGTATTCAAGGATATGTTAAGAAAAGCATTTATAAAATAATAATAAAAACCAAAGACACAAATCTATGTGAGACGACAACTACTGTATGCAAACCTTACGCTAATTCATACGACAATCTCTTCGTAGTTTAAAAAACACAAACAATTTTATAGTTTTTTCGTATAATTACTAAAAATAAATACAAGTTTTATCTGAAGAAATGCACATTAAATCTAAATATAAAAGTAATCCTTTCATTTAAAATAAGCACAAGAAATGTATAAAAACACTAATCAAAAGCACAGACTAATGTTTTTAGTGATAATAATAATTATTATTAGACTTACAAATATATATCGCAAACTATAATATATAAAATGTAATTAAATTCTTACTTTATTCTTGATTTTCATTCACACATAACAGTAGACAACGATTGAAACCAATGTTTTTTAACGACCATTTGAGTTGTCCATTGAGTTTAAAATCTCGGGCCATAAATACCAGTCGTTGGCATCAATTCATTGATTATTCTGTAATTAAATTAATAACAAAATATTTAATGAAAAATTGATTTTAATTTATTAGTTATAAACGAGAGAAAAGGCGTCAAAAGATCGTAAAATATTTCACCGCAAAATACAGCGATTATTAGCATAAATAATGGCCAATAATTAATGCAAATTGAATTGATTTTAGAGGTTAAGGCATAGGGTTTTGCAAATGAATGAATGACTTATTTTTATATGCATTTATTGGCAATTCAGCGAAACAGTTATTTTTGAAGCAAAAACTAATAATAAATACCTTTTTTGAAAAATTCAAATCAATGATTGGTTTTATTTTCTGACTCTTTTTTAGAGATAGTTGTTGTGAAATAACAAAAAATATCTTATTTTTATTGCAAATGTCTCTTTATATATGATATATAAAAAACATACGTAAGAAATAAATATAAATACAATAAATAATCTGTAAAATGGGTTTTTATCGATACTGTTTTGGTTGTAATTTTTTCAAACCCGATATCAATTTGCGAGAGTGAATAAAAAAGAGATACACAGTCTATGTGTGTATGTATTTAGTGATAGAGAGAGAGTATGTGTTTATAATTCACATTTGCGCTTAAATATCAATAATTTGCAAAACTATAGGACAAACACCGGAGAGAGAAAAGGGAGAGAGAAATAGATAGAGAGAAATACATTTGAGTTATATAACAGCATAACAGCCATAACACCGGCACTACAAGAGACTCGTTTGCGTCACTCGCCCCTCACTTCAAGACATTTTCTCACTTCTCTCTCTCTCTCTCTCTCTCTCTCTCTCGTCCTCTTCCATTCCCTATCTATCTCTCCCTCTTCTCCACATAATAAACGGCTTAATAGTGTATTGAATAATGAATTGATTTATGTCTTGACTCCATCTGTAATGTACTAACCATTGGGAAAATTTATTCACAAAAAACACAGACTCTTTCCGCAACAGAAATATATCCAATTTCTATAGCAATTAAATCATTCACTCATTTATTATAAGGAAAAGCCTTTTTCTGGTCTCTCCGGAGAGAAGAGAGGGAAAAGAATTCAAACAAATATTTTTGTTGAACTTTTCGCTTATTATGCAATTAATCACTTTATTTGCGCAAATTTTGCACATTTTTGTGGCTAACATTTGAAATCCTATATGAGATAAGTAGCCATAAATCTCAGCCAAAAACACAAAAAATCGCTGCTATTATTCAGTATATAAAAAATAACTATCAGTCAAATTCTGTGTGATATCTATTATAGCGAAACAACATTTTGAGCCCATCGTTGAATAAAAAGTGAAGTAGTTTTTCAATAAAGTCTTAATTCATCGCAATTAATATAGTGTACAAATACAGTGAACAGTGCGCTCACTGTATGTGAATGTGATTAGCATTTAATAGCGAACCACACATTGAGAATAGAGGGGAAGCGAAGCACACATTTTGGTTACTCAAAGACTGGTCGTTGTGTTGCCTCTACTCAAGAGTACCACACATTGAGTTCATTCATAATATTCATACACTTATGGAGATTACTCTACGAGAAACATAGTTGACACCAATTGGCCGCACAATACGGCAATATTACAGTCAATGTCATTGTTTTGGGCGACACTTCTTCGTCTTCTTCTCCATCAGAGCCACTCTTCTTGTGTCCAAACGACACATCAGTCACACAACACGCTATGAATGATGAGCGCCGAGAGAGAGAGAGAGAGAGAGAGAGAGAGAGAGAGAGAGAGCTTTAAATCAAAACTAATGAGTTGTAAAATTATTTGAAATGTTCCTCTAAAATACGGGTTAAAAATAAAACTATAATAAGGGCTGAGAAGGATTTTTTCAGTACATGTTAACTGAAAGTTGGCTTTTCTTTTTCTTATTTAAAATCGGAAATCTCAAAAATCTTTATTTTTGAAAAATTCATTGAATAAGTTATATTAAAAATAAAATTATATTGGAAATAATTTTGCATCTCTCTCTCTCTCTCTCTCTCTCTCTCTCTCTCATTTTTCTTTTTATATATTTATATAATCTTTAAAACAAAATAAGAAAAAGTAAAGTTAATTAAGTTTATAAGGGAAGGAATAACACACAAGCAATGAATAATTTATAGTCTATTTTGATGCCCATTAAATTCAAGTCAAATTGAATTTCCACGAATCTTCCGTCACATTAACATTATATTGAAAAAATTTATAATAGATAAATGGCTTTGATTTTTGATCAAAATGTACGAAATAAATAATTAATTGTAACTAAAATGCAACAAATTTCATAATTATAATAATACAGAAATTTTTTGCTATAAGTATAATATATTCTGTATCAAAGAATTTGATATTGATTTTGAAATCTAATCCCTGAGAAAAGAAACACAATAGAGAACAGGACTTGGATTTATAGGATTGGACTCAAAGTTATATATTGTTACGTGAATTGCTTTTCAATTTATATGTTATTTATAATAGAGGTCAACAATGAGAGAGAGAGAGAGAGAGAGAGAGAGAGAGAGAGAGAGTCTATTAAACAAAGGTAATTATTTTAGAAATAATAATCTTATTGCAATTGATATATAAAGCATATATCCTCAAGATTTATATTTCATCTATCTCTTAGCAATAAACTTTTATATAGCAGATATTTAATATTTTACTAAGATTGCGAATAAGTATTCTGTTTTATAGCCTACACATATTAAAATTACTAGCATTAAAATGAAACTTTTTATAAAATATCCTACATCTTTTATGATGCCGTTTTGGCCCCAAATGTTATTTACTATAAATTAATAATGTAAATCTCTATTTAGTAATGGACTCAAAATTGTGTTTTATTTTTTTCACATTTTGTATATTACTTTCTATGCATTTAATTTAGTATATCGCTAGACAATAGAGAATCATTAGACTATACATATTTAAACATTAAATATTATATATTGACAAATATTATAAATATTGACAGGAAAATAATAGTTTAGTACAGTTGAACAACATTAAAGGTAAATCTAAACAACAGTCAAACCCCGTTATTAGCCACTATTCGACACGTGACTCTCTCTTATATTTTTTCGCGCCAATACTTTATTTAATCACATTTACATCATTCATATACTCTGTTATACTCACATTTATATTGTACAATTATACACATATACTCATACATTACCGTATAATATCGGTAATCTGGCCAGAATCGGTAATTCCGAGGACGGACGGACACTTATCATATACCATTATAATCACATTATCGTACCGCATATACCATGTAAATATCACAGTCCCGCTACAAGTCGTTCAGTAGTTATACCTATGTATAGTTACCGAAGTTCGGGAAAGTGGCCGAGACACTTATCATATACCATTATAATCACATTATCGTACCGCATATACCATGTAAATATCACAGTCCCGCTACAAGTCGTTCAGTAGTTATACCTATGTATAGTTACCGAAGTTCGGGAAAGTGGCCGTGGAAGCCAAAGCCCTCTGATGTCAACCGTACAACTTACACCACTTATAAAGCTCGCCTAACGGATGAACATACATAAAATTGAGCGAGTTACACTCGACAGATTTCCTACAATGGAACATCTTCTAACCATACACTTAACCATGAATACCCGGTAAAGTGGCCGGTGGGGCCAAACGCCACATACGATCTTGGCAATTGATACATACATTACCGTATATTATCGGTAATCTGGCCAGAATCGGTAATCCCGAGGACGGACGGACACTTATCATATACCATTATAATCACCTTATTATACCGCATATACCATGTAAATATCACGGTCCCGCTACAAGTCGTTTACGAGTTATTCGCACGTAAAGTTACCGAAGTTCGGGAAAGTGGCCGTGGAGGCCAAAGCCCTCTGATGTCAACCGTATAATTTACACCATTTATAAAGCTCGCCTAACGGATGAACATACGTAAAATTGAGCGAGTTACACTCGACAGATTTCCTACAATGGAACATCTTCTAACCATACACTTAACCATGAATACCCGGTAAAGTGGCCGGTGGGGCCAAACGCCACATACGATCTTGGCAATTGATACATCATTGGAAAGCCCTTTATAAGCATCATACAATATCACAAATTGAATGAACTACATAACATGGTTCATCCACAAATTACGTTTATGTTCACAATTACCAGCTATTTCTTAACATAGCTATACTTTATCATTATATAAACACATAATCTCTATTCAATGTAAAAGTGCTGCTAAGCACTTATTGTGTCACTATTTGGCNTTATCATTATATAAACACATAATCTCTATTCAATGTAAAAGTGCTGCTAAGCACTTATTGTGTCACTATTTGGCAAAAGCGAGAGAGGAGAGTGAGTCACCCCTATGCATCATAAATATTAGACGCATTCACTGCAGTATGCATTCTCTATGCCCATATTTGGGCATAAGAGTAGTTCAGCCAATCAGAGCTGCTTATTGATTAATTGCACCAACACTGCAATCCTTAGACCGACTCAGAGATAGAGAATGAGACCATCATGAGTTCTCAGCGCTCAGAACCTTTTGATGGTCTGATCGATAGCATAAATAGAGCGACTGATGCCGCTCTCGAGAGAATGACAGTACTGGACACCAAACCGATCACTAGCTCTTAACTACCTTTAACTTGTGTTAGCTTTTGAATGAGATTCGTTGATATTCTCGTTGAGAATTGAGACTTGAGTTCTCTCTAAAAACTACTACCAGTTTTTAGATAAGTAGTCATAAAATAATATAATGTTAGTAATATTTCGTTAGCTCTAACGCTAAACTTGATATTAGTAATATTGTGTTAGTTTGTGATTGAGTTTCTAGACTTGTCGAGTTTTACATCATATCTCCAAAGTCTTCACTCGTTTGATAACATCTTAATATATTTAGTTGTAAGTTTTGTTTTTGCATTTTAATAAAATTGTTTCATGTATTAATTGCCTAATCTTTTTTCAACTATAAGTTACCTTTAGTTTATGTTCATTTAGTTATGAAAGCACCAACACTGCAGTATTAAGACCGACTCAGTGAGAGGATGAGACAATCATGAGTTCTCAGCGCTCAGAACCTTTTGATGGTCTGATCGATAGCATAAAGGGAGCGACTGATGCCGCTCTCGACACGCATACAGTACTGGACACCAAACCGATCACTAGCTCTTAAAAACCTTTTAGCTTGTGTTAGCTTATCAATGAGATTCGTTGAAGTTCTCTATGGGAATGAATACTGAGTTCTCTCTAAAAACTACCA